CCTTGATGAAGTCCAGAAAGACTACGTCCACGGCAACACCTGCATTCAGTGCTTTTGTGACCTGATCATAAAAGGCAATCAGGTTGGTCTGACATGACCTGCCCCTAATGAAACCGTGCTGGTTGCCCTTGAGCATCGTCCCTGAAGCTGGCCCATCACAGATGTGCTCCTTGATGATCTTCTCAAAGAGTTTCCCTAGGATTGAGGTAAGACTGATGGGCCTATAGTTGCCCAGGTCCTCCCTCCTCCCTTTTTGAATACTTGAATACTTAAAATCTTGAATACTTGATTTTAATCAAGGTCCTATTAAACTCGCTCCTCGCTCTTTAGATGTATGTTTTTCTTGTAAGGGACTGCCTCTTCACTTTTGTTTCTTTCCAATGCCTAGCGCATCTTGCGTGTTTTCAGAAACAAACATATAACCAAATGTGTTCTGATTGCCTCAGGAAGAGGGGCATAGCACAACTTGTATTGATGTAGTTGATCTGCATGTTGGCTGTCCAGCTACTGTAATTACTTTAGAAAAGATCATTTAATTTGGTACTTTTGACAAACTAAACTGAATTTTTCATTTTTACCTTTGAAGGCTAAGCTTAGTCTATCAGACTGCTCCACTGGATACAGAGTGAGCAGCGCAGTGGTACCAGTTTCCTCTGAGATGGCAGTTCTGTTTTCCAGCTGGGCTTTTTTCAATGGTCTGCATACGTGTTGCACCTACTTAGCCTTCAAACCATAATTAAAAATTAAATAAAATGAGTCAGGAAATGAGCAAAAGAATAATATTTAATGAGTTGCTTTTGCAGTTTAAAATGAAACCACCTGTCAATTACAGCAGAGAAAACACAGCCATTAGGCAACGCACTGTATCCCAGATACATAGCTTTGTGCTGAAGAAGGCTAGCATGTACACTTCCTGCTATGCATCATATAAGTGGGGCTCTTTCCCACCCTATTGCAAAGGCATCCAGTGTTTTAGTGCTCATCTATTCCCCAGACAGCTGCAAAGGAGGGGCAACGGGTTACATTTCCTACTCCCCTTGCTCTGTTCTAATTACATGGTTTCTTTCATCAGGAATAGAAGATATGGCTTCAGTTCACACTAGTTTTTTGTAGCATTTTTCTTTTCATGTCTCTTGCCAGAACTACGTATTTTCTCATTCATTCTTGCATACAAGGCTCCACTGAGGTAAATCCAAATGGCTGGTATTTATTAATACATGCAGTGGCTATTACCTTTGAAAAATATTTTGCATATCTATAGCAAAGTGTTGCTTAAAATGAACTTGACTCTATATTTAAAAAAAAAAAGAGTTGTTAGCAGATTGCTTACTAATTGCAGTTTTTACAGAGCGTCAAAGGAAATTATAGACTAACCAAATGTGTCCAGTGGATGCCGTTTCTTCATGTTTAAATTGATATGTAGTATAGTAGTCCTTGGGGCCCGAGTGTAAACCTTACAAGTGCTCACAGAAAACAGTTCTTACATTTAAAAATGCAAGCATCAAACCTAAATACACATGAGGGTCCATGTTACTATTGCTTAGTATTTTAGCTTAATACTTCAGTTTTTGGTTGGCTGGAATGTAAAGCCTGAATAAAATGGATTATATTATCCCTTATGACCTTGTGACAGCTGCCAACATTCCAGACCTAAAATAAGGGGATTTTTGTTGCCTTTACTTGAACCTTCACTTTTCCTGTTTACATTAAGGAAAACAACCCACAACTTATTTTAATCCTGCTAACGGAATAAGCTTGTTCACTGGGCTCCTATTTAAGAAGAAAAAGCTGATGATTCTGCTGGGATGTATACCATGTCCCATGAGTGGAAGCTGACTTAAAAAAAAAAAAAAAAACCAGACCAAACTCTGGTCTCTTACCCCATCTCTCAGTTTGAAGTTCCCAGCAAACAGAAGCCTTCACAGCTGAGACCAGACTGACCATGTCTCCCAGCCTCCAAACTAGAATACGTAGTCCTTGAATTGAAATGCTAAACTGAAAGGTCACTTCTGGCTGAGCATGTTATGCATATAGCAGCAATGATTCAGCCTTAGTCTTTCACTTTTACATAGACACTAGCTGGTAAATTTAGTGGGTTTTTAAAATGAGTGCAGTTTGAGATAGATAGAATTTATAGAACATTAGGGTTGGAAGGGACCTTAGGGAGGCCGTCTAGTCCAAAGCAGGACCATCCCCAACTAGATCATCCCAGCCAAAGCTTTGTCTAGCCGGGTCTTAAAAACCTCCAAGGGTAGAGAGTCCACAACCTCTCTGCGTAACGTGTTCCAGTGTTTTACTACCCTCCTAGTAAGAGAGTTGTTTCTGATATGTAACCTAAACTTCCCTTGCTGAAATTTGAGACCTGTTGGTCCTTGTTCTGTCATCTGCTATCACTAAGAACAGTGTAGCTCCATCCGCTTTCACACTGCCTTTCAGGTAGTTGAAGGTTGCTATTGAATCCCCTCTGTCTTCTCTAGATTAAATAAGCCCAGTTCCCTCTCAGCCTGTTTTCATAAGTTGTGTCCCCCAGCCCCCTCATCATATCTGTTGCCCTCCACTTGGACTCTCCAATTTGTCCACATCCTTTCTGTAGTGAGAAGCCCAAAACTGAGCACAGTACTTCAGATGTGGCTGTACCAGTGCTGAATAGAGGGGAATAACACCCCCCTTGACCTACTGGCAACACACCTACCAATGCAGCGCAGTATGCCATTAGCCTTCTTTGCATCAAGGGCATGCTGCTGGCTCATATTCAGCTTATTATTCACTGTAACCCCCAGGTCCTTTTCTGCAGAGCTGCTGCCCAGCCAGTCAGCCCCCAGCCTGTACTGGTGCATGGGATATCATCCTGAGATATTTGTAGTGGCTCTGTTTTAGCATGGCTAGTCCTTGTGACCTTTTTTATTAAGCAGCTATTTTCACATGAAGTCTCAAGTGCCGTTGTACTTCACTTTCTTGTTTAAAAAAAAAAAGTCAGCCCTTGCTGGCATTTGTAAATGAGATATTTGCACAACACCATATAAAATATCAGATTGCATAAAACTGCGCTCAGCTCTCAACATTTCTGCTACAACTAATGCCTGCAAGCACAAAAGAACTTTGGACACATGAAGGTGTGAAGCTTTTATTTTGATTCCAGGGCACAGACACTGACTGCTAAGCAGTACAGTAGCTGAGAGCTGGCAGGAGACAATAGTGAGTATTGATTGGCTAATAGTGACACTAGTCTTCCCTCTGCTCCAGAAAACTCATATCCATTGTTGCTATAAGGAGCTTTTTAAAAATTGGAGCAGAACTTATCTCAGTCCATGTTTGCATCCATGGATATATCAGCAAGCAAAGGCACACTTGTGGGTCTGCATATAATGGGTTTTTTTGTGGGTTTTTGCATTACTAAGGCTCCTTCTATACATTACAGGTATTGCACAGTTAACTGGTTAATTGTGCAATTACCTGGAGATCAGCTACATGTGCAAAGTAGATATTACACCATAAGAAGCTCCAACAAGCTATAAAGATAGACCTAACAAATGTGTACTAACTTTATAGTTGGTTGCAATTGAGCTTTAACTTGCATGCTGGGAGCCCTGTCAGCTGATGGGCTTCCAGCTGCAGGAGTGCACGATGCCCAGCCTAAAACCCCTGAGCCCTAGGGATTACGATCCTCTGGTTCCGGGGGTGCATGGGGCACTCTGCAGCTGGGAGCCCCTCAGCTGGGGTGTGTAGGACTCCCAGCCCTGGGAGCTTGCTTTTTTGTGGGTGCATGGGGAGTTTGGAATTGGGTTCCCCCTGCACCCACAATAAGGGGTGATGGGATCTAGTGCGTGATCCCACAGTTGCATCTCCTGCTGTGTGTGTGTGGCATGGCGGGAGGGTGTGTATCACTTATTAGATCCCATGATGTCTTTACCTGCATGTATAGAGGAAGCCTGATGCAGCCCTTATATTAGGTCACTGTGT